TTTAGTGCCATGGTCTAATAATCATGGTACTGTTGGATCAAGGGTTGGATTTGATGATCTTGGAGGTCTTTTCCAACCAAGGTGATTCTATGATTTTATGAGTCTATGATCTTTTAACTTCAAATGTAGAACAAATGACATCATACTTTTTTCTCAAAGGGACAGGTTCTCCTGTGCAAGTATGAGGGATATCTGTAAGAAGCTGTTACCCTAATTTGTAGGAAGTTGAAATTTTGTAATTAATAAATAATTGTAAATATAATCTCCCACCATAGCTAATACCTGACCAGCTGAAATAATATTGGCAATGGGGGTGACCACAGTTTAACAAGACTTGTAGGTTTTACAGTAATTAGGCATTAGACTCCTGTTGCAGACAACTAAGTGGGGATGTTAATATACAGTGTATTAGCCTCTGATTGCTCAGTGCTGTCATTTCACCCTGTGGGTATGACATACTGAGCATGTATCTATGCTATATAATGACGCATGATGTGGAAGAATTTTTTCACCTATCAGTGGCCTCAGTAGGAAAAGGTCTAAAAAGCAAGCAATCCTGGGATTAGTTGAAGTGCAGTGTTTTGCAGACACAGCTCCAAATACAGCTCAGAGGTCTGATACACACATCTAAGGCACGGTAGGGAACCACCTCTGGTTTCTCTGCATGTCATTACTGACTTCATGAGTGCCAGGAGGAGACGGTTCACTGCATGTGGAGAGTGGTGTCCTCTGCACCCTAGCACGGGTGCTATCCCCCCAGTCCTGACATGATGACGGCAAGGAAAGGCCAAGGAAGAGGACTTATGTGCATTGCCTTGATCAGGTGCAGCCTGGTCCAATATAAGGGCAGTGGAGCCAGTCAGACTCATGCCTTCCACCTTCGTAAAGGCTGGGACCTTCATGCTGAGAAGTTGCTGGTATTGTAAACTTTAAAGCTTAGAACCAATATTGTCAGTCATGTAAAATTCTTGTGTTTTCATCCTCCCTTGTTGCTTCTATCAGGCTTTGGAAGAGGCCACTTCACCTTAGCTTCCTACCTGCTGTGATGGGGTAATAACACTTTCTTTCTTTTGAAAAGTCTGCGGAGAACAGTGAATGCAAAACTGCAGTGGATAGGATAATGGATTGTTTGGGATAGGATTACTTCAAAGAAATCTCAGGCTATGGGTGTTTTCCAAAGAAAGGCAATTATAAATTGAATTATGTGTCTTTCATCTATACTTTTTACCCAAACAGTTAACAACATTGGCCAGTAATTTTGTGATCTGAAGCTGGTAGTTTTTGATGCATATTGTAATGTAGACTGTTTTGCACTTGTACTTACATATACTTATGTGGATATAATGGCCAATTCCTATAAGCTTTATTTTCTACTCCAGTCATTGATAGTTGTATAAAGGAAAAGTCAGCAACAATACTATCAAAGACATAGTGAACATCCCAGTAGGAATACTCAGAATTTCATTCTGCTTCTACCCATTCTGTGCCCTGTTATCTGAAATTTGCCTCTGTTTAGTGAAAAGTAAAGTAGATGTATAAGCTTCTTATAAAGCAAAAAGTCCTAACAGCTGTTGTTATTCTGTTTTATAAAGACTAAGTTGTTTAGGACAAGAGCTGACTAATAGTAAATGTGTCATTTTGGAATGGTGCCAGTTACAAGTCTTTGGGGGAAAAAGAGGTTTTTAAAGCATGAAAAATGTTAAATGTGAAATAATTAAGACAAACTTTTCATGGGTAAAATCATAACCTTGAACTCAGAATAATAAATACCTTTCCAAATGACATTTCTTACTGAAATCTATAATGTTTTCCAAATATATAGTTAAAGGGATTTAGGACAATGATTAAAAAATATTTTCTTTCATCACTAAGGCCAGCAAAAGAAAATAGAAAAATGTTTTAAATGGGCATAACTAATGCTCTGAAGTCAGTTCAGCACAAAAATTTAGTTGTGAGTCCACTAGTATGAAAAATATTATAAGAGGGAGAAAGGATTTTAATCTTTATTGAGTTTTCCAGATTTAGATGTAAATCTTCTGCCAAGTCATTTGCCCAAAACCTGCTGCAGGTTTGCTGAATAGAATTCTGTTGTCCTAAGGCTGTCAGCAAAGTGTTCAAGAAGGACATCTCCACTGCCATAGTCCAGATGCTGTCAGAATGGAACTTCTGGATCTCTGTATGTACATCTTCATCTTTGCACTAGAGGAACTAAAAAAAAAAATGTTTCTTTCTCTATTTCTAATTCTAATTTGTGAAGGGACTGACTATGTGTGCTG